CCTCCAGAACTTTCTATTTCAGCCTGCATATTTTTGTGATACTTATCCCCATCAAGTATACTTGGATCCAACGTATTTTAAAAATGGTCCCTGATTGGAGTCAGCGCTAGCCACTTGGATAGAAGTTAATTGTCTTTTAAATTTAAGGTATTTTTCCCTCTAGATGTAACTGATAATGTATTTGTATGAGAACGCAATGTTTAGGAGGCAGCGCTAGCATGCTGACATGCAGATGCGTATTCATGTTTCTCCCACTGAACAGCAAAGTGTGACTTTCTTGCTGGTTGCTGGCCTCTTGGACTCTGCTCTGATCTACTTTGTGCCTTTGGCAAAGAGTTGAACATAGTACAGTAACGTGCTTATCTGGCTGTGACATGGGTTTTCCATATCTGGCCAACCAGGAATCTACATGGACATGACTGGTTGTGTCTTTGGTGTGTACAGTCTCTCTGGGCTGCACCTGAACTCCTGTTCCTCACTGACACTTAAAGAGGCCATCTGTAAGATTTAGCCAAGCTGGGGGAGGACCCGCCAGGCTCCTGATTAAAGCGATGAGCTGTAAAATTGAAAGGGAAGGGGGGTGACAGCTGGCTCCTGCCTGCTACACTGAGCTTCATCTTGTCTGCTGGGAGACGAACCTTCCTGGTCTACCTGCTCCCCCTGTCACTGTAAATGGGTTTGTTTATGTCTACAATGTCAAGACTGCTATATGGTAGACTGCTAGAACTCCTCGCTTCAGTTCTGCTCCTTGCATACTATTGATCCATCATAATTAGTCGACTGTCGAGTCGTTATAACACTGACAGCTTTTATTGTTTGGATACTCTTTGTAATTGTGGTTTTCACTGTCATTTTAAGTGAGAGACGTTTGCTAAAATTTTTGGACTGTGTTTGTGGGAAGGGTACGTCAAACCTTTAAATGTGAAAGTTAGCTTCGGTTAGCATTTTGTGGTTCAGTCTTTACACAGGCGTCTCTACATGTAAGCAGCTGGGATTTAAAGCAAATTATAAAATTGTTATAATTGAATGTTTAATATGCATTTAAATGTTGAATATTTGCAAACATAAACTATATTTATTCATTTAAATTTTAAAAGCATTGTATTGCAGAAATGCTGAATGCAAATTATACCTTTTCAGCCTTTAAAGCGTCAGTGTGTCATGAAAATCTATTGAAACTGTAAACCAGGATTTGAAAGCAAATGTGGTGATGGCAGTTTTTAACTGCTGTCAACTGTGTGCTCAGTGGAAATGCATGAGTTAAGACTTGGTATGATAATGTGATGACTGAGATGGCAATTTGCAAAGCAGGCCTACTCATATGAGCAAAGAGTCACAAAGCTAATAGAAGTCAGAATATCTTTTCTTCCTGAATGACAAAATCTTCTCTACTGCTATCAGTCAACATTTGCATTAGATCATTAAACTTGTTTTGTAATGTAGCTGGCCTTTTCCCTTAAAAATAAATTCAGTCCACAAAAAACACAAAACAAAAAAGATGTTGAATGGTTGTCACACTCGAATCCCCTCATTTAATTTGAGAAAATTTCAAGAATCAACCTGATCTTTAGCTACAAACTAGCTAAGGTGAAAAAAAAATGCTAAATACTTAATAATTAATAGTGTTTATATTCAGAGCAGTTTTCCTGCTACACTGGAAGGAGCACGCTAAGTATACTGTCTCATAAATTATTGTATTAACATATTTTTAAAGTGCATAGAAATTTTATGTTGTGAAAAATCTTTTTAAATTTTAGAAAAACACAGCTTAGGTTATGTTTTTGTGAAAAGTAACTTGTGTTTAAAAAGTCTGTGAAGATCTTTCTAGTCATGTCAAAATACAGTAATATTTGATTACATAGCATCCTAACTTTTAGGGAAAAGTTTAGCTAAAAAGCTAAAGAGAAGAAAGAGACCAGTTGTTTCGAAGTTTTGTGGGCCTCCAACCTGACAGAAGAAAGTCGAAAGACTGTCAGGTAAGAAAGTAAGTAATGAAGACTGGAGATTAAGAGAACAAGCTCAAAGAGTTGAAGCAAAATGTCATAACAACTTACATTTCATGATTATTGTAGCTGTAGCTACCGAATATGTGTTCCATGCCTGCTATATTAAAGCTAAAACCGAGTCTGCTGCTTAACATGCAAGCTGAAGCATGTCCACTGTTACTGCTTTGGAGAAAGTGTTCATCACTGAAGATAAACTACTGTTAACTCTCATTCTCATTTGCAGTCAAACTCATTTGCACAAGAAAAAGTGTCTGCTTTGGTTTGTTTGCTGTTTGTATTGAGTGGCGCTCATTACGACAATTTGCTGGTATTGATCATGGCTGTGAGGAGCGCGAACGTGACTTACTACAGCTGCTTTCTGTATGAGTTAGGATTTTACTTGTCTGTCAAGTGAAGGAAAGAAAAACATGAAATGTCACGGTATCGTCGCATCTTAAAAACAGTGCTGTATCTCCATAGATTTGAAGTGGTGATCTAATGACTGAATCTGTTCAGGGAGCCTGCATATTGAACCGGAGGGGTGCGGGTAGCTCTCTATTAACAGGGCTGTGATGGTGAGGAGGCTAAGTGCGAGGTCAGGGAGGCCACTGTCACCCTGGGGAGGTTTAAAAGCCATGTGCTGAGACAACCATGCGCTCCTCCCCACTGGGCTGTCTGTCAGCTGACTACAACTGGGAATGTGGAACCATGGCAATCTCTCATTCAGATTTATCACTATGATTATCTTCATTTTGGGTTTCTTTCCTGTATTCAGATATACTGAGCAAAATATTACAGCCAGCCCTGCCTAATGTGGTGTTGGTCCTTGGTATTATGTCCATAAAAAGCATCAAAACACAGATATCTGATGCCAAAGTAAAGTAAAGCTGCTTTCGGCTGCTCCTTCATTCACAATGAGTCGTGACATCACCATTCCACTACGCTCTGAAGCCGCACCAAAGACCAGTCAGGGAGTCCTTTAAGAAGTCCTTTAAGTTGTGGGTAATATATGGGCTTGTTTTAGCTCTTTTAGTCAGTGAAGCTGGCCACTAAGGGATTTAGCTATTGTTTTGACTTGCAATGTTGGCCTTGAAATGATGAAAGGATACTTTACACTAAGGATACACTAACAGAATATTGAACGTGGGAACATTGGAACAGAGGAATATAATATGTGATACTTAATTCACAATTTTAATGCTCCGTTTTTAAACAAAATAGCTTAACTATTTGACCACCAAGATAGATTTACATAGCTAGTAATTAATTTTAAGGAAGTGCATCCTAATGCCACACCAGGAGAGTTTCAAAGCTGACTTTTAAGGGAGATAACAATGAAAAGCATGTGACTGAAATGTGAACATATCAGCAGGCACATTGAGAATATGCCTAGTATTAGTTCAGGGAGACCAGAAATTTAAGAAATTCTCAGAACCAACCCTTCTGCACATCCAGATAGCAAATAGGACTAGGTGTTGAAGCTGTTTTAGTGTGCCTCAGATATTGTATTTCTACAAGCTGCTTTGCAACCCACCCCTTCTTGCTGTTGTTACTGTGTTGCTGTTGCTTCATGTTTTGTTCTAAAAAGAAAGGGGGTCTGTCATTTATCTTTGGTGGCACAAAGCTGTGCCACTAAAGGCAGGGCAGCTGTGGCTACAACTGTAGCTGCCTTCACCAGTGTATGAATGTGAGAGTGAATGAATAGTGGAATTGTAAAGCGCTTTGAGGGGTCCAGAAAAAGCGCTATATAAATGCAATCCATTATTATTATTATTATTATTATTAAAGGTGAATGACTGCAGACAGACTATGAATCTTCTTTTGACTATAGTGAACCTCATTAGACATATACATTTAGGTTTATTTCTATAAACAACAAATACAAAAACTACAAGCAAGGACAAAGCCAGATGCTGCACACTAAGATGTGAACACACAACAGCTTTCTTAAAATTTGACACTGTTTGCTTTTCCAGGTGGAATACAGTGTCTAAAGTGTGAAGACCAGTGTGCCTGACTCTGCCAAATAAAAATGATTTGGATCCTGGCAGTGTCCCATTTTGACGTTTTTGATTTTTATTACAGGTTCAGACTTACTAATTCTACAATAAGCTATAGCTGCTAATAGCTTAGTGTCTTTAAACCCAGTGTTGTTTAGAGTTCCAATAATTTTACATACATTAAAATGTACTGCTGCTGTAAGTAGTATAAAGCTGCAAATAATGTCTGCAAATGTTTGAAATCTACCAACATGGCTTAATGATAATGATAAAACAGAGAGTTCAGTCCTTTTTGCAAATGCAGTATTTAAAATGTTGGTAGGTCAGTGACTATATCCCCACGCTAACAGCGCTAACATGGGAAATCCTTGATGTACGATAGCAATAAGAGTCTATTGAAGAGTTTAAGGCGTGCTGACATGTTCTTGACTTTTTTGTAACTGGTCATGTTTTTTCACTTAGGTTTTCTCCCCTTCGGTACAGCTGTTATTTAGGGATGAAAGAGACTATGATTTAAACTTACATAAATAAGTTTAAATCACAATTACTACGAGACCGAGATTAGAAATTAGTATAGTTATATTTATTCAAACTATGAACTTGTAGGGAAGAGCGCTACCCGAATGCAAGTGGATATGCCAAGGGAAAATGTAGAGTTTTGCTGGTTCTCCTTTATCTTTCTGTCTTTAAGGAAACATAAAGTTCCTTTATATCACAGACGCACACACACATCTATGCAAAGTTTGCTGTCTAAGCATGCGTATGAAGCTGTGGATGAAGCCTGCTGGCATCAACAGATTTATTTATTTTTTTGCCAGACAGAACTGCCAAAGCAGTTTCAGAGATATTTCAAAGTGTAAAGGTGTTACTTTGTGTTTCGCCATGTGTGATTAGCTCACTTAATATGTTGCTTGCACTTTTGCCAAGTGTGCACGGAGGAGGCAGACGGCGCATCACATGTGAAAAGAGTTGACACAAGCTCATGATTTCTTTCCATTTCATTTTCTTCCTTCAGATGTTGGGAGAGCAGTTCACGCCCCGGCACACATCACAGAAAAAGTGGTACAGCTGTTCAGGAGTAAAAGTGAGTTTACCTTCTTGGCCTCCATCCAGCAGAAGTCCTCCACGTCAGGAGTCATATTCTCCATCCACGAGTCAGAACACAGGTAATCCAGCTGTAATCCTCTTCATTTTGGCCCATGGCTGCTTTTCTGTATAACTTTTCTTCCATGGAGTACAGAGCGTGCTCGTTTTAAATTAAGCCTAGACTGGATTTATCATCTTACTCTTAGCTGTTTGCAGAAGGCTGTTGATGAGTAAATTAAAGAGCAGTGTACTATTACAGCATTACCAGTGTAAGCCAGAGCATGATGGGAGGCCAGTCACTGGAATAATAGAGCCCTTCAATCAGTACACTATGGGCAGAAAGATAACGTTCCGTGTTCAGTGTTCATAAGATAACTGTGAGGTATAAAAAAATAGAAAAATGCAAAAGAAATCCCCAAACCCCTTCTTTCACACAATGCTGCATAAACAACCATATACAAACGTGGAACATATGGCCTTGTAATTGAGCTGCTGTGAACTACCAGTATGGGAAAAAGCTGATTGTTTTTCCTGACAAAATGTGGGAATATTTCTAATGGCTTCTTAGTTGTTAATGAATTCCTGGCAGTGGATTGTAAGGTTTGTCCCTGAAGGCGATGTAAGATATCAGTGAGTGGCAGCAGTGAGATCACCCTGTGGCCCTCAGAGAAGCTATGAGTTGTTTGTAAAGGGCAGGCGACAATGATTTTCCTCCTGTGCTCTAAAGGTAAAAGCCTTAAAGTTCTGTAAAACATGTCGTCCAAGTGAGCATGCGAGGGAGAAATTATAATTTCTTGCTGAGGATCAATACGAGGGCAAAGTTGCACACAATGGGAGAGTGAAGTTGAGCTGGTCCTCTAAAACAAGGCAAACAAGACATACTGTTGCTGAAAAGTTTTAATAGATGTACAGCGCTATGCAAAGGTCTTGAGCCGTGTCCCGTTTCTTTATATTTTGCTAGGAAAATTGACTGGTACTTATATAGTGGCTTTCTTTTTAGTTTTCAGCACTAGTGAAAGTCTCATTTACCCAGTTCTAATCTTTTCAAAAAAGCAGTGTATGTGTGATCCTCAAGATATTTGGTAAAAAAAACTTAGGATCAGTATCTTGCCTAGGGAAATTATAACTTGAGCTGGGGATTCATCCGGCAACTGGTAGACGACCTACTCTTCCAGATGATCCACAGCTGTCCCACATTGATGTAGTGATTTTTCTAAAAATATGCGTAAACATTCATGAAAATACAGTATACGGGGGAAAACAGAAGTTGTACAGTCCTAACACCTTTATTCTTTCACACTGCCTGAACTCTATTTGGTTGAGCTTTACTTTAATTTCCTTAAACAGGAATTGTCTGGAATAGTTCTCCGGGCTTCTTGAAGGATATTTAAAGTTCTTCTTTGGATGTTGTCTGCCTTTTGTTCTTTTCTGTCTTAAGATTATCCCACACTGCTTCAATAATTGTGAGGTCCAAGCATTTAAGTTCTATCCTTAATGGTTACAACATTAAATGTTGCATTCATGTTAACCCAAGATATTGCATCCATTCAATGCATTCCTTTCCATATAGGCAACATGATCTTAAATTGGCTGATGATATAAGCTTTGGTTTAAAGCTTTAATGCATGGAAGTAAAGAATGAGTTCTTCAGGACATCTTTTTTGAGTACTCAGCCTAAGTATATTGCAGTCTATGTCAGTGCCCGTGTACTTATTTCTTCAAGCATGTAGTACTGTATATGATCCACACTGGAAGAGAAATGCGCTGCCCCCTACTGTGCTTTAAAGGTGACCCTTAGAGTTCATTTTTAGTCCCTCTTCTTCTCTCTCTTTCTCACTTTTTTTTCTCACATTTCCTTCAGGCATAATTGCTGCACAGTGGGTTGGCCGAACAACAGCAAGCAAAGCTAAATGGGGCCAGATGACTGTACTGCCCTCCTCCTTCAGGCACAATGACATGCTCTATGCAACATATGTAGCCCTGAGGAGTGCTGGGACTAAGCAAATGTTGCATTAAAGGCCCTCAGCCACACTCAAACACACCCAGTTAGATATACTAATTGCTAAGCCACTTATAGTGTATATTGCACTAAAAATGTTCAGGATAGGGCTGTCCCACCAAGAACTAATGTTGTAACTGCATTTACACATATGTGTTGTTTTACCAGATTTAGAACAGTCTTCCAACCCAAACACTAAAGTACATAATTTATTATCGGCATCAAAAGTTGCCAGTTGGTCTGTATTCCCAAACCTCTATTTCTATACTAGCTTTCACTGTTCCTTCCACATCCATTTCAACTTATTCATGACTTTTTTACTGTTCCATGTCTTCTAGTGCTGTGTTTAAGGTTTAGTTGGATTTAGTCAAAACCTACTTTAAGTCAGATGTGTTTCATTGTGCGTCACCTCTATGTCTTTGGCGGGTTTTGAATTGTCTGTTCACAGTGAGATCCATGAACACACTTTATTACGCAGTAACGAAGATACTGCTTCTGGACAGAAACAGATCAGGCAGGCATTATACCAATTTCTTAAAAATTTCAGTTCAGTTCAATTCAGTTTTATTTAGTGCCAAGTCATAACAGTAGTTGCTTAAAGTGTGTTATATTGAATAGCACCTTAGGTACAGTACCTGCAGTGTTAGAAAGAGCTCCTGCAGAACCAGGAAGGGGGCAGCTATCTGCCGGTTGGGAGTTAAGGGGAAAACAGATGAGAGAAGAGACCATAGGGAGACAGGAAAAAACATGAACTATGGGAGAAATTTAATGCCATACAGTAGTAGTGTATAAACATGCGGGGAGTGAAAGGATGGGAGTGGAACAGAAGTGCTCAATGCATCATGGGAAGGCCCCCAGCAGCCTAAGCATATAACAGTAAAACTAAGAGATGCTTAGGGGTCCCTTGATCCAGCCCTAACTATAAGCTTTATCAAAAAAGGAGGTTTTGAGCCTAATATTAAAAGTAGAGAGGGTATATTTTTCCTGAATCCAAACTGGGAGTTGGTTCCACAGAAGAGGTGCCTCCCATTCTACTTTTAAATACCCTAGGAACCACAAGTAAGCCTGCAGTCTGAGAACAAATAGCTCTACTAGGATGATATGATACTATCGTGTCTGTAAAATAAGATGGGTCCTGATTATTTAAGACCTTGTATGTTAGAAAAATGATTTTACATTTGATTCTGGATAAAATAGGGAACCAATGAAGAGAGAAGCCAATATGGGAGAGTTAAGCTCTGTTTCTAGTCCCTGTCAGCACTCTGAATGCAGCATATTAGGTCAACTGAAGGCTTTTCAGAATGCCTTACTGTGATTGTAGCATATGTCTGCTTCCTAACTCCTCCTTAATCAATCTGGATGAGACTTAGTGTACCAGGATTGGTACCAGGATTATCAAAGTCTTTGAGGTCACTGGAATGTGTTCAGTGCTCATCAAACAGTGCCAATAGTTCCTGCATCACATTACTTAAAAAAATTATTTATTATTCATTTGTTTGATGGTTATCAACAGCCATTTTTGCAATCTGACTATACACGGTGATACAATGAAGATAAAATAACATGGAGTGACTTTTCAGCACGCTAGAGAGATTTTGTATTTTTGGCAATTTTGCACAGATGAAAGAAAGCAGTCCTACATATTTGTTTCATTTGCATGTTGAAGGGCATATCCTGGTCAAAAATGACTCCAAGGAAGACGAGGTAATGCCATTCAGAGAAAGTGCCTGGTTAAACACCATGTTTCTGAGGTTTTTAGGGACTTAAATTACCTTAACTCCAGTTTTGTCCAAATTTAAAAGAAGAAAATTTAAGGCCATCCAGAGCTTTATGCCTTTAAAGCATGCCTATGTAGCTAGATAGTATTACCATACAGCTAACATTATTAGCATAGCAAGACTTTCATTCCTGTAATTTTGGAAGAAACTCATTATGTAACATTCAGACATTCAGACATAGTATAATTATAAATGTTTCTTCACCACTACCACCAAACCGTTTAACTGACTTTCAGTCATTTTTCTTCATATATTGTGCATTGTGAGGTATTGCAAGAGAGAGATTTAGATGCAAATCTAGCCCAGCTAAGCCACAGCAGGATGAAGTTATTTTGAGACGAGTTGTTTTCGGAGAGAGACCGCCACACTGTGAGCGTAATTAAATTTGGTGAGATGGGCGCAGCCTTGACTGGCTTGGTGCAGACCTGTGCTCCATTGTGACTGAGGATTTGTTCTGAACCTCTGAATCCTCTCTGAAGGCCCTATTAGCCCTCCGCCGATGGCCATTCTTTCCCATTATAACACAAGTCTCCCATTCAGCCACCTAACACACAGCCACTGTAGCTCTACGGCTCAGCCAAATCCAATCAGACATTCCTTCTCTATCACTCTGTCTTTCCTTTCCTTCTTCATCTTTCTCCCTGCACAATCAAACGGTCCTGTCTTTCCTCCCTCCCACTGACTCTGCTAACTCTGCTTTCCTGATATGATAATATCCTTTCTCTCGCCCCTCCTCTCCTCCTCCGCTGTCCTCATCCTCAAAGTGAAAACGTCTTCTGAACGCAAGCATTTCTCGGTGGCCTGTGCTAAAGCAGAAAAAGTTGTTTTTTTTTCTTGCACCCAGCACTGGGGAATGGGGAGAAAGGTTTATTGCTGCTCCACTAGACTGAATAGAACAAAAGAATCCCATTTCTGCCTAGACAGCAGTTTTCTGGGTACCAGTAACGCTCTTATTGTCAGCAAGTGGCAATAGCTCTGTGATGAAGTAACTCAAAGCCTGGTCTCTCCACTGCTCTTCCCACCTGTGCACTCAAAGATGCTCAGCTGCTCTGTTCATCTGCCTGCCCTTTTGTAACTCTACAGGTCTGCCTCTCCCTCAGCGCCTCACTTCATAAGCACTCACAGGTTCTTCTCTTTTAAGAAACATGCTGGGGAAGAAGAGGGACTTGTTAAGCTTGGCTTCCTGGTAAAAGTTTGTGAATGTTGGTGAGTGCAGGGAAGCTGGATGCAGAAAGTGCCTGGCCCACTGCTGAATTCTATTTATATCAGCAGTTACTTGAACACGGGAGCAATAAATTGGCTC